TATACAGGGTGGGCCACCAGTAACGCCTCGGTCGCTAGTGACCAAACGGCAAATGTTACAGAAACCTGTTTAGGTGGGTATGTGTAGGTTGATTACGGCTACATTTTAAAAATATTTTGAGATATACAGGGTGTCCAGGAAAAGCGTACCATATCAAAGTTATGTTTTTTTAAATGGAACACCCTGTATTTTACTGCATTTTTGAAAGCACCGTAAAAAAATAGGTGAACTTTATTAAAGGTTCTGCATACCTAGGACTTATAGTTTGTGAGATATTTCAATTTTAGTGAAAATGCACGCATAGCGTAGAAATTTAATATTAGCAATAAAAAAAATAATTTTAAGGAAGCAGCTTTGGAGAGTCTATTTTAGATCCTTGAAGTTATAAATTGTTATATTTGTCGTCACTTAGTATTATACAGGGTGTTCAAAAAACTGCTGAATACTTCTCTCAACTTTAAATAGCAATAACTTGGTTATTTTAAATGGAACACCCAATATATTTTTGCTTCGACAGTTAGGAAATTTAAAACTCTTTCAAACTGAGTATTGGTTCCCTATACCTATCTCTAACGGTATTGGAGATATTTGTGCTGTTTCGTTTTTTATCGAATTTTTTTGTAAGATGTATCCACGTGTCTTTATCGAGGTCTTTATTGAATTGGTTTGGGTTATTCTTGATGACGTATCTTTAAATATATTGAGAAAAATGAGGATACAATTAGATGGCGCACCTGAAAATTTTTCATATTCAGTGCGAAATTATTTAAATCGAAAATTTAGTAATAAATGGATAAGTAGGAATGGTGCATGTTAGTGGCCACGTAGGTGTCCAGTCCTCACCGTAATGGACTTCTTTGTTGCGAGCTATATAAAAAATCTTGTATACAATGTTTCACCTATTACTTGCGATGATATTAAAGGGAAGGATTAGAGATGCATTTGCATGAAAATATCATTTGAAGATAGAATAAGATGCTGTATTCAAGAGAAAGGTTATCAATTCGAACATCTATTAAAATTTTTCTTTGTTTCTTCTAAAAGTAAAATTTTCTTTAATAAATATTTTTCTTGTTCATAAATAATTCAGTTACTTACTACAAACATATTTATACAAAATTAATAACTTTTTATAATCATTCTGCTTATAAAATAATATTTTTTATTAGAAAACTTTTTTGAATATTTTCATGATAATGATAAAAGGAACTTTTACTTTTAGAAAAAACAAAGAAAAATTTTAATTGATGTTCGAATTGATAACCATTCTCCTGAATACAGCATCTTATTCTATCTTCAAATGATATTCTCACGCAAATGCATCTCTAATCCTTCCCTCCAATATCATCGCAAGTAATAGGTGGAACATTGTATACAAGATTTTTTATATAGCTCGCAACAAAGAAGTCCATTACGGTGAGGTCTGGACACCTACGTGGCCACTGACATGCACCATTCCTACTTATCCATTTATTACTAAATTTTCGATTTAAATAATTTCTCACTGAATATGAAAAATTTGCAGGTGCGCCATCTAATTGCATCCTCATTTTTCTCAATATATTTAAAGAGACGTCATCAAGAAGAACCCAAACCAATTCAGTAAAGACCTCGATAAAGACACGTGGATACATCTTACAAAAAAAATCGATAAAAAACGAAACGGCACAAATATCTCCAATACCGTTAGAGATAGGTATAGGGAACCTATACACAGTTTGAAAGAGTTTTAAATTTCCCAACTCCCAAAGTAAAAATATACTGGGTGTTCCATTTAAAATAACCAAGTTATTGCTGTTTAAAGTTGAGAGAAGTATTCAGCAGTTTTTTGAACACCCTGTATAATACTAAGTGACGACAAATATAACAATTTATAACTTCAAGGATCTAAAATAGACCCTCCAAAGCTGCTTCCTTAAAATTATTTTTTTATTGCTAATATTAAATTTCTACGCTATGCCTGCATTTTCACTAAAATTGAAATATCTCACAAACTGTAAGTCCTAGGTATGCAGAACCTTTAATAAAGTTCACCTATTTTTTTACGGTGCTTTCAAAAATGCAGTAAAATACAGGGTGTTCCATTTAAAAATACATAACTTTGATATGGTACGCTTTTCCTGGACACCCTGTATATTTCAAAATATTTTTAAAATGTAGCTGTAATCAACCTACACATACCCACCTAAACAGGTTTCTGTAACATTTGCCGTTTGGTCCCTAGCGACCGAGGCATTACTGGTGGCCCACCCTCTATAATTACCAAAAATACCAAAATCATGTCAGATTTTATTAAAGGTTATGAATTTTGTAATTCAAACAATTTTTTACCTTTATAATACCACACATGAATGGACCCATGGAGTTATTACAGTGAGGGTCTGTCATTTATTTGTTTCTCATAGAACAAACTTTTATTTGCAAATGATGATGCTACTTTCCTATTGGTCAAATTAAATTCAGAGCATCATAGATGTAGGTTTAACGTTTCATGAAAGTGTTAACTTAATATTCTTCTGCCTCAAATTGTTTATAGATATCCCCTTTAAATGAAAGAAATTACTGCCACTTCTGTTGGTGACAGGGAAATGTTTATAGAAATGGAAGTGTTTACATAATACATACCCGTAAATGTAAATATCTGAATGGTACATTATCATCACTATAATGGAACCAAGGTGCGTTCCAAAATAAACAGAACCTTTTAAAGAAATTTATTAAACGTAACCATTTTTTTTATAAAAATATCTGCATACTTATTAATCAACATATCAATATTGGCTGCAGAATCTATTTTACATAATTTACTAGCAATTTTACAAATACCTAAATTAAGCATTGCTAGTCCATTTCTACCAATAAGTTGTGGACCTCCACTTTTTACGACATATGGTTTTAAAACATGAAATTTGTCTTCAAACATTTAAATTTAAAAATCCTATTGGTTCAAATGTTACACCACAAAGTTGAATTTTGTTTTGTTCTGAATTAATCTCCTTTTCCTCAATTTTATTTAAAAAATTTTTAGACAATAGTTTTCAAGTTGTTTTAATACTAACCTGAACTACTATTTTTAATTTTAAAGGTATAAAAAAAAGGATCATAATCCTAACGTAGGTGGACTAGGTTTAGGATTTAAAGAAAAATCTTCAGTTCCAAGGAGTGCACCAAATTCTTTGCCATCTAATAGTGGAGTTCAGCCCTCTAGAGGACCTGCTACAGATAGGTTATCTGCTATGAAGGCAGCCTTTCGAGCACAATACCAAAATCAGGTAAAATTTATTTACAGAATAATGAATTATACCAAAGTGTATAGGATTGTCATTTATTTTTAAGACCTAGCTAGAGAGTTTATTATAAGAATCAATCAAACTTTTTACAAAGATTTGTGTACTTTTCTCTTACTGTCCCAAACCTCAAGGACTCATTAAAATGAATATGAGAAAAAATATAAAATATGTCTCAACGTAATAAATATTAATAACTAAATAGTACCATTTAACAAAGTTTAGATTTCAGACGAGGTTTCAGTATCATGCATTCTGTGAATAAACTGGAATTTGTCATTTTAAAATTCTGCGTAAAGTAGATTTACATTCCTTTTTTGATGGAAAGTTGGTAGCACTGCACTCTGCTCTGACACAAATCAATTAGTTTATTTACAACTGTTAATTTTGTTAGTCCACCTAAAGTGTGTTCCGTGATTTTTACTATGGATAATGTTATTTATCAAATGTAAGTCCACTTAAAGTGTGTTCCACGATTTTTACTATGGATAATGTTATTTATCAAAGAGTTTACCTAAACTGTTGTGCTACCAATGGAATTTATTGCACCGAATCATTGAAATTGTTTGGGAAAAACATACGGCAATTCAGTTTTATCGGAAACTCAAGCATACGAATGGTACAAAGCATTCAAATATGTTCGAGAAATGGTTGATGATTGCCACATTCTGATTGTCATTCGTCTTCAGCTGGTGAAAACATTGATAAAGTGAAAGAAATAGTGTTTGCACACCATCATAGCTTCAGAGAGCTGGCACATGAACTAAACATATCTTACAAATCAGTTTGCATGATTTTAGTTGATGTTTTGCACATGAAACACATCGCAGCACGGTGATTTCAAAAGAGCTGAATTTTCTTCAAAAAGAGCATTGCAAACATGTTGCTGAAGACATGCTCGAACGAGCTAGTTCAGACTACATTCATGCAGAGCTTCATAATAACAAGTAACGAGATATGGGTTTAAGAGTTTGACATACAGACTGAAAGGAATTCAGTCAACAAAGAATATTATCTGGGCATTATCAGGTGATAGAGAGTATCTGCCGCACCGCGATAATGCACCATCACACAAAGCGATAATTGTGAATGAATTTTTGACAGAAAACTCAACAAATGACATAGAGCAACCAGCTTTGTCCTCTCCCAAAATCAAATTACCACTTCATAGAATACGTTTCTAGGTGATAGAAACCATAAAACAAAAGTAAAAAATCCCTGAATGAGTTGAAGTCCATACCGGAATATGCATTTAAAAATACTTTCATTGGGTTGTTCGTTGGAAAAAGTGTATTGCTTCAAATTGAGACTATTTTGAAGGAAACAAAATACATTTTCAGGATTAATTGTATATTTTGTGTTTGATTGGGTTTGATTGAAAAATACCTGATACTTTTTTTGACAGAATGTATGTTTAAAACAGATTATTACATGCTTTTTAAGTTTTCTGGAGTGGAGTACAAAGTCTAAGAAAATTGAGTAACTGCTAATATTTTGATAGACTGAATTCAAACAATATAGTTATTACAACTAACAGGACATGAAAATTCTTTTTTTTTGTATTATGAGTAAATAAATTGTAAGTGAATCGTTTTAAATTTCACAAGTTCCTGAATGAGAAGAGATGTATCTGGAGTTGGAAATTCAATTTCCATTCCAATTCAATTCAAAGTGCACTACAATACATAAAAGATGGCATTTATTTTAATTAAGAAAATCATAAATTTGAAATTTGAAAAATTCATGATTTGAAAACAATGAATTAAAATATTTTTAATTTTTCTATTTCAATAATTCACTCTATGGTAATTAAAATTCAATAATATTTTTACTGAAATTGAGGATCATAAAAAATAATGTATAAGAAATTCATATATTGCATCAATATACTTCTTCTACATCATCTTACTTCTGTTTCATTATTTACAAGTTGCCCTCCACTGCCGTCTCATTATTTATGTATATGGAAGGTATTTCAGAAAGACCTCCCGTAAATACAGGGGGGTGATAGTACGACAAAAAAGAAGATTTTTTTGTCTTATGAACTGTATGACTATCTCCTCTTGTTTTCAAGGTACAGAGCAACAAAATAAAACTTTAAATAGAAAATTTCCAAACGGTGCGAAATATTTTTATGAAATTTGGTATTCCGGGGTTTTTAAGGATGCAAAATACGCTGGTCTAATTATTTTTAGGATATTTCATAGAGGGCGCTAGTTATGCTACATTCCTATTATTTTTATATCAAAATTTTACTGATTGTAGTTAGTAATGACTAATTACAGTCACTAAAATTTTGATATAAAGTTAATTAGAGTTTAAAATATTACTAAGAATGTATGCGTTGTTTATGAGACATCCATCAATAAGCTTTGTCATAAGCCCTACTTTGAGAAAAGTCACTTATTTTATACACCGTAGTATTGTTCAATTAAAAGCCTTTTTTCTCGTAAACCATCCACATTAGAAAGTTCTAACAAGAGTACATTATTTTTAGAAAATAAAAATCTAACCTTAATAAAATTAGAATTTAAAATGTAATAGGAATGTAGCATAACTAGCACTCTCTATGAAATATCAAAAAAATAATTAAACCAGCGTATTTAGCATCCTTAAAAACCCCGGAATACCAAATTTCATAAAAAAATATTTAGCACCATTTGGAAATTTTCGTAAAGATTCTATTTAAAAAATTTTACTTTGTCGCTCTGTATCTCGAAAACACAAGGAGATAGACATATAGTTCATAAGACAAAAAATTCTTATTTTTTGCCGTACTATCCCCGTATTTATGGGAGTTTTTCTGAAACACCCTGTATAAACACACTTTATACATATAAATATTGTAAAAAAATATATATATTTTTTTTAGTTTACAGCAAGTATTGATCAACCTCCACCACTTATTACAAGAAAGAAAACTCGATGGGAATAATAACATATTCCATTTTTTTTTTGTAAAGTGTTAAAGTTGTAATGTAATGCAATAAAATTTATTGTAAATTAAATATATAAATATTTTTGTGGCATCAGAACATATACCTAACCATTTCTGTACAAGTCTAATCTTATTTGAAAAAATTTTGAGAATGGAAAAGCTCATTAATTATAATTTATTTTTCCACATTCCTAATTTTGTTTGTACATTTATATAGAACTGAATAATACAGACTAGCTTGAGTCAAATACCAAAAAATAAATGAAAATTTCAATGCATTTTTATATTATACAGGGTGATTCATTAATAATGGGACAGAGCTTAAGGGCATGTTGCTGACCTCAAAATAGAGCGATTTAAGTCAAATATGCCTTATCCCAATGTTGCTCCTTTTCGATCTACAGGGTGTTAAAAGTTGAAAAAATATTTTCGATTTTTTAAATATCTTAAGCATCTTTGAACGGATTGTCTTGAAAGTTTGTACACCTATGTTTTCTGAGGTGGTAATTCCGGAAATGGTAACTATTTTGCAATCACATCTAGGATGCGCTAGTTGTAGTGTTCCGTCGGAGTAAACATATGTCAAACTTTTTTGTCCTTCAAAAATCTAAATTTCCAATAAGAAATTATTAAACTATGTTCAATTCTAAATAAAAAAGATATCCCTGTTGAAAATCGATACACTTAACCGTTTTTGAAATAAGAACGATTTACTATTTCTTTACAAAATTATTTGTTTGAACGTACGCCTTTAAATAAGATGACTTAAATGAAGTAGGCCGCTGTCAATGAAATGTCATGTATTATTTATGTCAATTCTAAGCAACTTATAAATACTAGACAGTTTAGTTCTTCTTCGTTTGTGATTTTTTTCATTAAAATGCCGCGTCATAATGATTATTCGTTTGTTGAAATGAGAAACATGGTATGTGTGTATGCCCAAGAAAATTATTGTGGTCGTCATGCAGCAGCGAGGTACTTGGAGTTATATCCAAATAACAGACAACCTAACCACAAGCTTTTCAAGACGTTGTACGACAGATTAGGAGAAACGGGATCATTTCGCCCTAAACGAGACGTTGGAAGGCCTAAAGTATTAGCGGCGGAGCAAGAAGAGGATGTTTTAGTGCGAATTGCCGAAAACACGCAAACAAGCACACGCCGAATTTCATCAGCTACTGGTGTAAGTCAGCCTTCCGTCTTCAGAATACTCCACAAAGAAAAATTGTATCCTTACCATTTTCGTCCGGTTCAACAGTTGATGCCACAAGATCCTCCTGGTAGATTTCGGTTCGCACAGTTTCTTCGTCGGCAACAAAATGCTGACCCTACATTTTATAATAAAATATTGTTTACGGACGAAGCTACATTTACCCGGCGCGGTGTATTTAATTGGAGAAATAGCCATTCCTGGGAACTGGAAAATCCTCACTTGCCACGAGAACAACATTTTCAGCATGAATTCTCAATAAATATTTGGTGTGGAATACTTTCCGATAACATTTTGGGACCATTTGTGTTACCCCGTCCACTTAATGGGGAAAATTATTTAAATTTTTTAACAAATGACTTGCCACTCGTTCTTGAAAATATCCCCTTAAATTTACGGCAAACCTTTTGGTTTATGCATGATGGTGCTCCCGCACATTACTCCCGACCAGTAAGAGAATATCTTGATATAAGTTTTCGAAACCGTTGGATTGGTCGCGGCAGCGAAGTGCCTTGGCCTGCGCGTAGCCCTGATTTAAATCCCCTAGATTTTTATTTCTGGGGTAACGTTAAATCTTTAGTTTATAAAGATGTTATACATACTCGAGAAGAGCTGTGGGCAAAAATACAAGAATCTGTTAACATTATCAGAGACCAACAAAGAAGTCTATTCAGTGTCAGACAAAATTTTAACGAGAGAATAAAAAAATGTATTGAAAACAATGGTCGCCACTTTGAGAATCTTTTGTAATTAGACTTAAGCATAATAAAATTTTCAGTTGTTACTGTGTTTGTCTTAATTCGTAATTAAGTCATCTTATTTAAAGGCGTACGTTCAAACAAATAATTTTGTAAAGAAATAGTAAATCGTTCTTATTTCGAAAACGGTTAAGTTTATCGATTTTTAACAGGTATATCTTTTTTATTTAGAATTGAACGTAGTTTAATAATTTCTTATTGGAAATTCAGATTTTTGAAGGACAAAAAAGTTTGACATATGTTTACTCCGACGGAACACTACAACTAGCGCATCCTAGATGTGATTGCAAAATAGTTACCATTTCCGTAATTACCACCTCAGAAAACATAGGTGTACAAACTTTCAAGACAATCCGTTCAAAGATGCTCAAGATATTTAAAAAAATCGAAAATATTTTTTCAACTTTAACACCCTGTATATCGAAAAGGAGCAACATTCGGATAAGGCATATTTGGCTTAATCGCTCTATTTTGAGGTCAGTAACATGCCCTTAAGCTCTGTCCCATTATTAATGAATCACCCTGTATATGAACAGTGTAATAGGCAATTAATCATTTGAAAGATAACATTTTTAATTTCAAAATACAATGTCCCCAATAAAGTGGGTACGCATAATATGGAAACAATTTTTATTAATCAATTTTTGCTTAAAAGTTATTCCAATCAACATGTAGAAAATCAATCACATGATTGTCTAAATGTCTCAAATTTAACATTTAAAAATATGACCAAAAAAGATACGTCATTTCCTAACATTTTAAAATTTGTTAAAGAACAGTAGATTTTTAATTTTTATAATTATACTAGTTTTCGGCACTCCAATAAAATTATTTTTTTTAAGGAACATTTAACTTAACACAATATAAACATTCTCTTGTCCCCAAAATAAAAATTGTGCACAATTTATTTCTTATTAAATTAATTTCAATTTCTTCAATTTTATCTTTAATTAAATTTCAAGTAACTTACCTAAGTACTTTAAATCTCTATAATAGATCTAACATAATTTGCTTTTGTACGTACCAACTACAGTTATCATATTTATCCTTTTACAGTTAATGTCCTCCCAAATAAAAAAAAATCTTCAAGTTTTGACAAGTAAACTGTATTGTATTTTTTAGTCTTAGAAAGAATTTTTTCGGTGTCTGTAGTTAAATGGAGAAATCAGTGTCAGTTTTACATGGGTGCTATTGGGTGCTGTAGAACCAGGCGGTAAATTGTCTAGGGCGGCGAGCGGAATAAAAATATTTTTAACAATAGGATACCTGGGGTTACCCTACTGTTAAAAACAATTTTATCACAGCTCGCCGCTTACCGCCCGCCCCTTATCGCTGCCCAATGTAAACTGTAAACGCGGGCTTAGGCCTAGAAGTCCAAACACAATATACAGTTGTGTGCTACAAGAAAATATGGATATAAGTACCACATCCAATATTTTATCTTCATTGACCCAGTACTTTCAATATTTACGGAATGAGTTTGATCAATATGAAACCAAAGAGATAGCTTTAACAGGCAACGAAAACTACATGGAACGATGAAGCACTAAAAGGAGGCATTTAGGAGAGCCAAATACAAAAATTATTTTAAGACCTAGAGACAAAATGAGAACACAGATTTACCTTCCAATTTTTGATAATCTTTGAAATTAATCGTAGATCCCAAGTGGGCAAAACATGTTCAGATTTGTTTGAATTTTTGTTTAATTTAGTTGAATCTCCCAAAGATTTAGTGAAATTGTTACATGAAAGTAAATTAACATGTTCATTCCCAAACATAAATGTATACCTTCTTATTTTTTGTTCCATAATTGTTACAAATGCTAGTGAGGAGCTAAAACGCTAAAATGGGTTAAAACCTACCTTCGCAATTCAGTTGCGCAAGAAAAATTAAATTCTTTAGCCATATTGTCAGTAAATTCAGACATTTTAAAAACAATAGACACTAACCAGCTAATACAAACTTTTTCACATTTAAAAGCAAGAAAGTGACTCTTGTAAAACTGAATAAAACTCCTCATTTGCATTTTACTACTGTGATTGTATTATATAGGATATTTACTTATAGGTATGAGATTTTGTCTTAATTTCCAAAGTTCTTTCCTAATATACATATAGTTCCTAATATACATGGTGTTAAAAAAAGAGTGTAAAATATTTCAGGAGGTAATAGTATGAACCAAAATAAGCAGAAAAGTCTTAATAAACATGGGTCCGCAAAGTAACGGTTGCGGAGATATGGACCACTATTCGTTTTTCAAACATTTTATTTTATTAGGAATAAACCGACAAAGGAAGCTTTTAACAAACAAAAAACAAAGTTACAGAAGATGTTCAAAGTGCCCTCCGTCCATTTCCAAGCAGGCACGACATCTTCGTCTCAACGATATTCGAACTCTTTCGAAAACACCCTCCTTGGTTTGGATTTCTTGACACTTTTGATTAATCCGTAGCTGCAGCTCTTCCAGGCTATTTACAGGAGTACCATACACTAATGTCTTCAAATATCCCCAAACAAAGAAATCTAGAGGGTTCAGATCAGGCGATCTTGGAGGCCATAAAACAGGTCCGGCCCTTCCTACCCATCTATGTGGAAAAGTTTGGTGTAAATGCTCTCTAACGGCCATGGAAAAATGAGCTGGAGCACCATCATGCTGGAACCACATTTGTTGCCTCTGATTCAAAGGAATGTCTTCCAAAAACTCATACAGTGTGTTCTGCAGAAAGTTGAGGTAAGCAGCGCCTGTTAATCGGTTTGGTAAAACAACAGGACCTAGAAACCTGTCACCTACAATACCCATCCAAATGTTTAATGAAAAACGTGCCTGATGTCCAGATTCTATTAGAGCATGAGGATTTTCGTCGGCCCAAATATGCGTATTGTGAAAATTAAACACTCCATTTCTTGTGAACCCGGCCTCATCAGTAAAAAGAATGTTTGCAAGAAAACGAGGGTCTTCAGCATCATGACGTAGAAACCAGCGGCAAAAAACCAAACGTGCTTGATGATCATTTATTGGATTTAAGGCCTGTACTCGTTGCACATGGTATGGATAAAGCAGTTGCTCGTGAAGGATTCTCCAAACAAGAGGACCACTAATTCCTACCTCGGCTGATATTCTCCGCACACTCGTACCTGGATTCTGCTCTACCAGTGCTAGAATTTCTTCTTCTGCTCTAGGAGTGGATACCGACCTTGGTCTTCCGGATAAATGGCACTGTTTGCTCAAGGAACCGGTATCACGCAATCTTTGGTGAATTCTTCCAAACATGCGTTGTGAAGGAATCTGGCGATTTGGATAAGCGTCAACATAAAGACGTCGCGCTTCGGTGGCGTTCCCATTAGCACGACCATACATGAAATGCATGTCTGTTAATTCTGCGTTAGAGTAACCAGCCATAGCGAAAGAAAACTTGTGCACTGAGAACAACTGTCAAATACGTACTGTTTATTTCACTAAACATCAACCAACTATTATAAGAAAATACACAACGTTTTTGCAAAATAAAAAAAGGGGCTAAAAAACATAAAACATTCCATATCTCCGCAACCGTTACTTTGCGGACCCATGTTTATTGAGACTTTTCTGCTTATTTTGGTTCATACTATTACCTCCTTAAATATTTTACACTCTTTTTTTAACTCCCTGTATATCAGTAGGCAAACATGACAATATATTGCAATATTGGTATTGGGCATTGGTCATGTTGGTTTTTTTCTTATTTATTTATTTTGACTGTAGTTGATTTTTTTTTATTTGTCATGACTTTTTAGTTGATTTTGAAAACCAAAGTTAGTTAGGAGAAGAATTTTGTTGTGTTTGTGTTGTTTTATTAATTTTAAGCGTAAAATATTTATTTTTGTTTTATTTATATTTTATTCTTACTCAGTTTCTACCCAGTTCTTATGTTTAACAATGTGATGTTGTTTATGTTTTTTTTTCTCACCTTATTATTGTAATTAAAAACCAAATATTATCTTTTTATTTTGAGTGTGTAGGTAGGGGATGGGCGGCGATCACAAGTAATAGCACCGAGCGCTAAACTACCTTAAACCGGCGCTGGGAGGAATGAAATGAATTGATGTTATTTGCACAGATCTTTTGTTAGATATATTCTTAAAATTTCCAATCTAACAATCACATCAATTTGTTATACAACAATAATAAACTTAAAGTCTAATAGTATACCTATATCTTTTATAAAACTAACCCTTTTGAACTTAAGTAGTGCAAAAACATGAGAAGTCCTTTTGAAGGAAATACAATCAGTTAAACTAGAAATTTCATATTTTTAGATCAGAGAAAATTTAGAATACACAAAAAGATTCAGGTAGTCTAGTCATTTATTAAGTAAGAATAGAACAGATGCAATCTCAAAATAACACCTGCTATGAGGAAGAACCGTTATATGGTACTGGAATCGCTGATTGATCGGAAAACACTCTATGTTATTAACAACTTTCTCATATTTCTAGTTCTCGAAATTATTTAAACGCTCAAAAAGTTATGAACCGATCGTTATGAAAATTGAAACTGTGTTTCTTTATGAAGTTACAAAGAACATGAACCAACAATTGGGATGATATAATTTTAAGGGTGATTTTTATTCAAAATAAGTAAAAAAAAATAGTGGAAATTGATATTTTTCACACGTGTCAAAATTTCAATTTTTACCTGCAATGGTGTAGCATTTTGAAATTTTCTTATTTATTAGTTAATTAGGATTAATGTATGTATAATTACTAACAACGCTACTTTTAATTTAGTATTTCTTCTTCGTATAGGTAAATTCACTAAATTCTGTCATATTTTACTTTTTTCGAATCGCATATACACACTTCTGTTTTATCGACATCGAGTTTTCCTGATTGCTGCTATTATTAATATCGTCTTAAGTATTCGTTACTAAAGACAACCAACACACCACTTCTAAACATCGTTGAAATTATATTCACAAAAAGTGTTCTCTAGGTCTCCTCAGAAAATAACATCTAACTGGTAAAGACGGACGGGTTCTGGTGAAGTGAAAAGCAATATGTGGATCGTAATTAATTTTACGGTTTTCCAATTTCATGGGATTTGAAATACCACCTTTTTCAGTGCCGATACTGTGTACCGTCGATGTGTCTCTATATCCAGAAGTCTCTCACTAAAGGTTTTCCGAGATGCTTTTCTGTCAATTTTTTTTTAGCAGAAGTTCATCCAGGACAAATTTCGTTTTGTTTTGACACAATATTTACATTACGTCCGAATGTGATTTTGGTTACCTCAATTTAAACCCTTCCACAGAAGGTGAGTTGCAACTAAAAGGCATTTCTTAGTTCATAGTACTTATGTAGTAATTGTTTTATTTTAGGGTTTTTAGGATAAGTTAGATAAGTTACAGTATTTCTTCAAAGTCCAGCTTTGGTGAAGTATCCACTAGTTGACTCCCAGTTGCTCATAAGGGCGTTAGCATTGCATTTTGTGCACCTTGAAGCTACATTCATCATTAGCTACCACAGTTTTCCAGCAGCAACGGATATACACTGGTCAACAAAACCTAGGACTGGATAGGCATTATTTTGTTTCCAAGTCCCTCGTTGCCACCTAGGAAGCAACATCTTATTTCACTCCCCGGACAATCAGATAAGTCTCAAATATTTATTAATGCTTTTTTTTTGTTTATATTTAACCATTTTACTACTATGTAAACCTACTAGACTATTATCTTGAAAACGTATGGAACACACGATTATAGTACTATGAATTTGCGCTCTTAGTCTATGTTTAAATATTTTTATCAATTTTGTTTCTGACAGTACCTACAGATAAAATCTGTATCTAAGAACCAATTCTGTAGAAGTTTCATAAAATGTGAAGGATCAGCAACAAATATTTTTATTAGTGTTTAGATGTATAGAGTAAGTTTTATTAAGTACATATTATATCTTATTCTTTCCAATCATATCATATTTCACCTTTCTCTTTTCATATTTCTCTAGTAACCTTTGGTACTTCCTCTCTAAAGTATCTTCTTCATCTTCAACTTCAGTTACATTTGAAACGGAATCAGTATTAGAATTGTGGCACATCTCTTTTACTAATTTCTTATTACCTCGCACCACTGCTCTCTGCAAACGATCAACATTGTTCTTCGTGTCTTCCATAAGTTTCAAATTTTTGGAGGGTACAGCTGAAAATTAAATGAGTCATTACATAACTTATTATGTACATGTTAAGGCCATATGACACGATATAAAATTGTATAATAGTATATTACGTAATAAGTGTTGTAAAAAGCATTTGGCAAGTGTGTAATTCTATGAGTGCGTAATTGTATTACACCACGTATTACGTACCATTCTTTACCTACGACCACTACTTTAAATACTTAAAAACACACCGTCTGCGAACAATGCAATTCCTATTAGGTCGTACGGTAAAAAAAAATCACACTGCTTGGTAAAAATATCGTACAGTTTTCCTAGCGACCGCCTAGCAACGGTCAATACAAACAGTATTGTATTGACCGTTGCTAGGCGGTTGCTAGGAAAACTGTGCGATTTTTTTACTGTACGTAATAGGAATCTTACATCGATCGCAGACGGTGCGTTTTTAAGTATTTACAGTAGTGGTCGTAGGTAAAGAATTTTACATAGATTTAGACATTTATCTATATACATAGATTTAGATAGACATAGATGCAAATTTTAAAATATATGAAAAATATAATTTAAGTAAACTACCAAAAAATATTATTGTGGCCTGTTCCTATCCTATCCTATGGGACCAAATAAGAATCTATGATGTATTTGTACAGGACGAACCATTATAATTATAATGTCATATAAAAAACTATGTAAATATTACACCCTATCATACGGCTTCTAGTGTATTATCCTATATATATATATATAGGATAAGTAGGTACCTACAAATTTGTAAAGTAAAATATAGAAATCTCACAGTTATTGCTATAGCTAAATATAATAATAATAATTAAATTAAATGATTGCCCTATTGTTTTAATAAACATACCTGCTTTCTTTAAGTCTTTTTCTTGATGGTAAATTTAAGAGCTCTGCTTGGAGATCTCGTTCAAAGTCTGAATCTTCAAAATGTGCACTACAAATATGTCCAGTTGAAGGATTAAACAAATCGCCTCTGTTGCACTGTTCCACCCATATCTTTCTAAGTTTTTTATCCCTAGGAAACACATGAAATGAAATTTTTATATTGTTTTGTTTAGCATCATAAAAATTATTTTTGCAAATTGCAACACTACACCTCACGCCTGGCATTTTTATGTAGTAAATTAATAGTTTATATTAAACACTGCACCATTAACTTATTAAGAACTATTATTAATAATTAACTAGTTAATGCAAAATACGAAAACTATGAAAAATTTATTTAAATAATTGGAAAAATGTAAAATTACTGATTAAGTCGCATGGAAACAAACAAAAATCCTTAAGGTTAGGAATCTTGTGACATACTTCTTTACATCTCTACATCTCAACGTCTCTAATCTAAGGCGTTTTTTCACGAGTGAAGTTGTATATTGCAGTTTGAGATTGTAATTATGTGTAGTATGAGCACAGAATAATGTATGAGGGAATGAAGAGATTTAAAGAATGTAGTTTGAGTTTGTAATATGTGTAGTATGAGCACAGAATATAACAACGTATGAGGAAATGAAGCGTTATATGTCAACTAAAATCAAAAGAGATAGAAATAGTCATAAGAGCAAATAAATTACTCTTATGGAAATAGTAACTACATTACTATTATACAAAAGTCAGATATTCACCTTTATTCAGTTGCGAAAAAAAAGCCTAGGCCAGAGACAATAGATAACTAGCCTAGGCTTGTGACGTAAATGGGTTAAGCCACGCCCATAATTCCTGTCTATTATTTGACCGCGCCATTATTCCATGGCTAGAAATTGGCCTCAATGATTTAGGATCAAGGGAGATTATCCCTCTTTATCCTGCCTCATCTCGTGTAGGCCTGGACAGCCTTCGTAGATGGGCCCCATCCGTTGTCTACCCCGACCGCAAATGCGGCCGGTGTAGGCGCTGTGTGGGACCTGCTTTTGTCCTGGCTGGGCCCCGCCGGCTAGGGCCCTTTCTTCTGGCGCTCTTCTTGCTTCATTGGCTCATCTGTGTAAACCCTGGGGGTGCCAACATATACTTATATGCCGACGACCTGATAATCATATCCCAATCCGTAGATCCTAGATATTCCGCGTCAAAATTAATCCCAACAAAAGTTCCTTTTTACCAAACGAAAAATCCCATAAAACCTCGACAGACTGACACTATCCCAGGAACCCATCTCCTGGAATCGCACATCGTGGAGACGGTGACGCGAGCGAAGACCACCAGGGCTAGGCTCTATCCCTTACTCAAAGGTGGAAACACCCTCAGTTTAAGGAATAAGCGAACGCTTATCATTGTAATACTTCAACCGCAGCTAACCTACGCCTCGACGGCGTGGGGTCACGCGGCAAACAGCCTTTTAAAGTCACTACAGGCTGTGGAAAACATAACCCTCCGCACGGCCACCGACGAGCCACGGTACGTAAGAAACACCGACATATTACGAGACTTAGAATACACAAACGCTACACAGACAATAAGACAAAACACAGAAACGGTTTGACGTAGCCACTAGACATGACAATCCCCTCCTCAGGCAAGCCGTTGACTACGTACCCGACACGTCCGACAAACACAAAAGACCTAGACACCAACTTTTTGACCCTGGGTGACCACCCCAATGAC